TCATTTTCACAAGCACCTTAATATAAATAATTACAAGACAACTAATGATTCTCTTTTAGTTTTTTTTCTCCCTTAATTTTGTTCTCTTTCTCGTTATTTATTTATTTATTTTTTTTTTGTGTGGCTAATGCACTTATAAGTAATATAACGTCTCTCCTCCTCCAAATGGAAACACACCCACCAATCTGATCTAAATTTTGTTGCATTTTATGTGTTAAATCATTTTGGATAATCACCATATTCTATATGCAATTCATGTAATGCTGAATATTTTATCAGCTACCCACATACATGTTGTGGTCCATATATAAACATATATGTTTAATTTGATGGTACATGTTCTCTATTGAGCATGCTAAGATGCCCATATTTCAGCATTCAATATCTATCATCACCTAACAGTAGTTTTTGCCGTTATGTCCCTAAATATATATTTACCGCATCTCTCTGTGTTACTCTTAGACACTCCCATATAATTTTCTTATTGCTACGTTCGTTGTGAAAACGGCAACGTTTTGGACTCCCATAAAATTTAACTTGGTACTTGTTTCACCTTCAACCCCAAAAAGAATATTCCTTACACTGTTCATGCCTTGTCAGCATTGATTCCATATTTTAATTACTTTGATTATAAATATAATTTGAACTTTTTAGATTGTTAATCATTCCCATTTTTTTTAGTGAAAGTATCGCCAACCATCAACCTCATTATTATTTACAAAAAAAAAAAAAAAAAACTGTGTGATTACACAACATGCTTTTTCGGAAAACGACGTCGCCCCATTGTCTGCACAATAGAAATAAAACGCCGGTAATGATGGTGCTTTCTCTGGCATTTTGGTTATTTATCCATGTTTGGAGGGACAAAAAAGTAGTTGCAGACGGTGCACAATAATTATGCCAAAGACCAGTTCACTACTAACCAAACGGAATGCTAACAAATTACGATCCGATTCTAACCGTACCATTCTTCTCTCCTGTTATATAGTGATATGATATCCGCACCAAACAGTCATTGCCTTCCGGTTCCATACAGTTAATACTCCTAACCACGCGGTACATTCTCATTCCATGGAGCTTTCGCCTTCCCCATCTGCATAACGGCGCCGTCAAATTTCCCGTTACAGATTCCCCGTCACTATTAACGGACCCTGGACCACTTCCCGTCATTCTCCTCCTCCTCCTTCTCTCACTCACTTTAAAAGGCTAGAAACCAATCCTCACCGTTAAACGGACCCTCATTATCGTCGTCATCCTCACAAACTAACAAATCATTCGGAAAAAAGAAGAGTAAACAAACAAAAATGAAACGCAGCAAAATCGAGTGGAAGTGCGAGAGAGTAGCTAGAGAGGAGAGAATTATGGTGAGGAACTGTGGAAGAATTGCAGAGATCACAGTAATGGAGGTGGCGCCAGTAGGCGCGAAACCTAGAACTAGAGCTCGAGGTCTGGCAGTCGAAGCGACAACTACAAGCACGCCTACAGTGAAGAAAAGGAAGTTCGAAGACGGAGAATTGCGGATTTCATCATCCTACATCCAGCCCAGAAGTCGAACAATTGCCGTAGAAAATTCAGTTTCCTCGCCGGACATTAAGCTTGGTAACCCGCCGGCAGCTGAGGATCAGTGTCTCAGCCCCAGCGCAGATCATGATGGAAGCGTCTCCGTATATTGCAGCTCAAGTAACGGATCAAGCGACAAAGTAGACAACACGATCAAATTCGTAGATCTGGAGGTGAGAATTTTGATGCTACTAGCAAATTCAATTCGCTTCTAATAGCTCTCTTTATGAGTTCTTGAAATTTCGGTTTGTCGAGCTTTAATTGTCTTGTATTTAATTCGAAGTTTAAATACCACTTTCTTTTTTTTTTTTTAAATTCTCTTTTTGAAATTTGAATTCATTGTTATTATTATCCTTTTTTAATGCAGGATGATAGTGTTGAAGTTGAAACATCGACGTATTATAGCTGCAGAGAAAGGTTTGCAAATATACTCTTTTATTCTTTTTCAAATTCAATTGAATTTTTACCTTTTTTTTTTTTTAATTTCCTAATCATTTCTTTTTTTCTTGTCACGTCGCTCCAATTTGAATTCAAAAGGAGTTAGTCTCTGAATTTTTTCGGTTATAGATTCTTTTGGGCTCTCACTATATAATTATAACTACCTTACTAATTAACTCCCTAAAATTTGTCCTCTGCATTGTGAACGCTACGCTTATCGCAGGAGGGAGACCACGCCGTCTAGCGAGCTACGAGAAGAATCAGACGCCATGGATTCGGCAACAAAACCATCTGATACGGAATCTCAAAGCAGATCAACGGAGACGAAGATGCCAACGGAAGAAGAACTGGAAGAATTCTTTAAGTTCGAGCAGGAAAAGCAGCTCCAGAAATTCACTCAGAAGTGAGTAACATTCTTCATCGACATTATCCTTTGCCTTCTTTAAGCTAATTAACCACAATTCAGCTTAAGAGACTGTTTGCTTGCTAGAATTAACTGTTAGAAAAAAATAAAAAATGGGGCTATCAGAGAAAAAATAAGCGGCTTAAGTATATAATACGGACACATTATCTTCAATTTTAATTTCTTAGCTCCTACATTTTCTCGGCAACCAAACGGAATGTATATAAAAACAACACACACGCACGCACACACACACACACACACACATATATATTTAACTAGCATGAAATTCAAAAATGATTATTAGGTATAACTTCGACTTTGCCAAGGATGAGCCTTTGGAGGGACGTTACGAGTGGGTTCGACTAAAGCCATGACGAAAAGGCCAACCGCCGAGAGAAAGGCAAAGCTAGCAAAGGGGAAAGCAATTGGCGTTCTCTTTAATATTTATTTATAGCTTAGGTATCACTGCAACTGTGCTACTAATTTCAAACTTAGCTATTTTCTAGGCTTTCGTTTTTCCTAATTGCTAGCTATTTGTTTCTTTATTCCAATTATTGTATAGGTCTTTTTTTTTTTAATCAGAAAGTAGGAGAAGAAGCAATGTGTTTGTTTCAAAGTACGAATTTACAGACGTTAGAAGAAGCTTCTCTTCTCTGCAAAAACAAAAGAATGAATGCAGAATTCACTTGATAAGAAAAAACCGTTTAATAACGAAGTTGTTGATATTCTCTCCGGTTTGGTTTTTTTACGCCCCCTAAATTTCGTGTCTTTATCTCTGATAAGTCTGCTGCTCATTCTTCTTCTCTCCACCTGGTCCAGCCGTAGACTGAAAGTCAGTAATTTTAACTCTCTCTCTCTTTTTTACATAAATGCTGATAACAAAAGTGGAAAAGCGTTTTCGTTTTGTTTTAATCTCGTTAATTCTTTAGAGTGCAAAATAACAGCGGTGATATTTGAAATATCGGGTGGTATTCATGATCATATCATGTACGTACAATATATATATATATATATGTGTGTGTGCGTATGAGTGGGGCGTGATGATGACGGGAGGGAGGAAATTGATGGCATTGGTGTTGGGGAGGTTGGGGTTGGGGGGCCAAATACACGCACCATGCCGTGTAAGTTACGGGCACGTGTTGACGGTTGGAAAGCTGATCTTATCCCCACGCCTGACGTTGCACAGTCCCAGGCCCAAGTCCTGATCATTTTTATTTTTTTAAAAGTTGAAACGACAGAATGTAAATATATAATTGACTATTTAAATATTATTGAATATATATTTTCCATTCCATTTTTTTATTTTTATTTTTATATTCAAGTAATTTTATTGTTTTTGTTAAATTTACTACAGGCTTGTAAAGAGCATTTTGATCCATATACTGTTTAATTTCCTGATAAAGAGAATGTCCAAATATTATAATTAATAAAAGATTTAATGTAATTGCTTGTCATGTCCGTATCAAATATTGTAAATTTAACCGATTGGAGATCTCTAGTGGTTAGAAAAGTCTGATCCCGTATGAGTTGTGTTTGCATACGTTATTTAAAATATGACGTTTGGTATGTAAAAAATATAATTGCAATTATGTAAATATCAAAATAGTTTGGAAAGGACGATAGAGAGTGTCAAGGACTGATATCCTTTGTGATGTATTGGAAAAGAAGCCACGTGGTGTCGCCATTCAAATTTGTTAAAGACCCAGCGCCTCAGCTCATTCTTCTCTTCTTGGATCTGGTGCCCCCCCCCCCCAAAACAATTCTCACCTTCTTAAAAACAAATTATTTACTAGATTTACTGCCTTAATTATTCTTTATTAATATTTAAAATAATACATTTTTTTTTTTAAAAAAAAAAAAGAAAATTACGATATTGTTGATTAAAATACTATTATTATAATTAATTTTAATTTTTTTTTTGAAAAAAAAAAATAGAACGCGCCTTTTATTAAGATGCCAAACCCAAACACGGTAGCAACAGTGTTCCATCATATGAGGCAGGTGGACTCGCCTTCAGCAACTGGGGAAGAGCCAGGAATGTTTAACCTTGCGCTATGATTTCCTATCTAGACCGAACAGTCAATTTTATACTCTACATTAAAATTTTACCTATTTAGATGGTCAGGTAAAAAGTGACTTGAAAATTTTGTTGCTATTCTCTTAAAATTTCATGAAAAATACGCTGTAAGAAACAAAAGCAATAAAATTCTTAATTTTTTTAAATTTCTCAATCTCAATTATTATTATTATTATTTTTTATTTTTACCTTTTTATTTTATTTCTTTTTCCTTTTAAATTTTTTCTTAATTGAAAAATTTTCTTTTTAATTTCATATTTCATCAATTCAAATAACTCACAGTCCATTTGAGTTTTTTCTGGTTTCCTTTTCTCGTAGGGTTCTAATTGCTTGAATTTATTGATTATAATTTGAGTTCTGTTTCTCCATTAAAATTGGGCCAATGTTGGTTCAATTTCAAAATTCATAATTTTTATAAAATTAATGCATATTTCGAAATTTAATCCGGTTGAGATTTAGAAATATTTACACTCCTACGCGTCTTTTCGGATTCGTCTGAATGTCCAAATTTTCTTGTATATATGATATAATTAATTAAAATACTTCCAAATATTAAAAACTAATTTAATCAAATTATGGGTTCCAACAACCACCCAACGAAATTATCAGAATCCATATCTGGAAAATCTTTCGGCTCTCCGTTTAGCGAATTAGATTCACGTTTTTTGAGAAATTTTTTTCAGTTTTTTGGATAGCAAACCGAATTTTCGTTTCTCGAAAAAAATTTTTTACCTTCTCAAACAGTGAATTGGAACCCTAAAATAGTGGATCGGGTTTCCATGTTCGAAAAAGACCCTTTGACTTTTCGAATAGGTTGGCTTTCCCCATTCCCAAGGAAACCTCCTCGGTTATTGTGTGTGTAGGTGGCCCGGTCGAGCTCGCGCGGCTAGCCCAACACCAACCTTGCCCCATCGCCGCTCAACCACCCCCAAAACTTGAAAAAAAAAAAATCATTTTACCTTTCGACGTGTGTGATTTGGTCTCGGCTTGGCTCTCGGTCGCCTTTTCTCAATCACCCTGCAGTCCTTTAGCCCCTAAACTTGCACACATACACATATGAACACTTGTTTAGTCAAAAGCATAAATTGAAAGAAGAAAAGGAATACACCTAAATCGTTACGATGCTCGAAAACTTGAATAACCTCGGGTTTGGATTCCTCTGTCACACGATGCTCTTTGGCCATGATTCCCTTTTTTCTTCTTCCACCTCCGCAGTCTCTCGTTCTCCTCTCCCTTTGTGTGGTTGTTCTCGGCTTCCCTTTCTCCCGCTCGGCCACTCCTTTTCTCTTCCCTTTTTCTCTCCTTTCTTTTCCCTTCCCCTCTTCCCTTCCGGCCTCTCTCTTCTTTCCTCTCTCTTTTCTCTCTCTCGACTTCCTCGCGCGACCGTCTTCTTCCTCCTCTCCCCGATCGCCTCTCTCTCTCTCTTTCTCCCTTCCTCTTTTCGGCTTCTCATCTCAAAATTAAAAAAATCACTATAATATCTTCTCCTTTTATACCCGTTCCCTAAACCGTTGGATCTTCATGACTCGATTTGTGCCGTCCGTTTTCCTTTAAATCTCCTCTATCTGATCTCCTTAAGCAGTCCGACCATTTTCCTGATTTCTTTTGCCTCCTTTCACTTTTCTTTATTTATGTTTTTGGCTATTTTTTCTTACCAACTTTCATTTAGGTTCCTAACATTAATTAAAAGTTTCAAATTTTAAAAATCCATTTCATTTACATCTAGACTCTAATTTTATTATTAATTTTTTTTTTCTCTTAAGTGGATATTACATATAATAATTAGTAGTAATAACAATGTCGCTAAGAACAAAATAATTCTAGAACGAGCTAATTACTGTAATATTAATAATGATAATTACGATAATATTAACATGACTGTAATAATGATTATGATAATTGGTGATCGACAACTAAAAGAAATTATAAGTTGAAGAAATCTTTATTGAAGGAGGTTACTAAATTCACCTCTTCTCATCAAGTTGAGTAGGTAAAAATAGATTAATTTAGTGAGTGCTAAGATAGAAGCAAATACAAAAATATTAATTATAAGTTAAAATTTACAGTTGGTTAAATTAGGAGAGCATGTAAATTTGATTAAAAAATAATGAAATAATTCAAATTCATTTGAAAATTGCCTGAAAATAGAAGAAGCTTATTTACAAATTGATGTCTCCTAATTTTCACTTTGTTTCCAAAAAATATACTTCAAATAGTAAAATTTTAATATTGTTTGGGAGATTAATTATTAATAAAGTGAATAGAATTAAGATGGGTGTAAATTTTAATTTTTAATTATTCACTACACGATAGAATAATGATAAGATGAAAATTCCATCATCAACCCAGACAACCAAACATTATCCAAGGAAAGATAATTCCTACAGAAGCAAAAATCAAAGAAGACTATGGTTCCATTTTCTTGCTGTGTTCGATGGACATGGATGAACATATTCCTCAGTCATTCTTGCTATAAACGTAGAACAACTTTACACTAATCTGTGGTTTTATCAGTTTCATCCTTACACCTCTTCACTGGAGGCAACAGAACTTGGGGAACTGCGTCCATGACAACCATCATTTTCTTGAGAATACAAGATCAAATCCTTCACGACTCGGCGAAATCTCCTCCTGTAAGTAGGTAGCTTCGACACACCTCTTACCATTCCAATCATCCTGTCAGAGTCCGTCACCAATCCATAAAGAAAAACAAATCTAAGATGCTATAACAACTTCCAAATTGTAACAAGAGCTTATAAGATCATCTTAGGGAGGGAACTATATATCTACCTTCTGCTGATGCCCTGAATCTGGGCCCCTATTAGAGCATCTTCGGGCAGTAGACTTCCGTTGTCCCAAGCATTCATGCGTCTTGTATTGCTTCCAAAAAGTACTACTTTCTCCAAGTACTTTATTTCACTCTCTTCTAGCTTCAGGACCCTAATCTGCTCCTTCAGAACCATTATGGGATTAAAGAACCAGTCCAGCAATTTGTCCTTTGGCCTATTCCAGTAGTTTACTTCAACACCATCAATCAACAACAGGCCATTCGAACCTGCTTTAATGGAGTTGAGGAGGGTATGCAAGAGTGAATAACAGGGCAACCCAACACTAATAGTGGCTCCTTCACTGCTGTTCTTTGCCTTCAAATATTCATGGAGTTCAGAAGGTGTTATTGCACCAGAATTCAGTAGTTCCTTTCCCCTCATTTCGCAGGACCTAATCATATGTTCCCAGATCTGTTGCATTTTGAATTAACACCTTAAACTACTCATTTGTCTAATTATAAACTGGACAAACAATGAGGATATACTGACCTGTCAAGTAATTTCAAAAACTCAAACAAAAGATGGCTTCATATGCTTCAGTACTTAAAAGGGGTAAGACACAGAATTATTTCTGATTACCTATATTGGTTATGCATTTATGAAGATCAGGCTCTGTCAAGAGAAAGGTTATGAATTAATAATGGCAGGATGATGATTCATTCAGTCATAAATTTCAATTTCTTTTTACTGTCTCCAAAGATTTCCTTAAGCTGTCAGGATAGTTTCCTGTATAGCTTAAGCCCCTCTCCCTCCCTCCCCCCCCCCCCCCCACCCCCCCAAAAAAAAAACAAAAAGCAAGTACTACTAGATCTAAATTATGGTTGCATCAGTGAGGAGACAAAAATAAAAAACAAACGACAAGGTATTTCAGCTGAAGTAAACCTGTGGTACAAATGGCTTGTTATAATATAAATAAAGAAAAAGTTCTCATATTTAGACATACAGTAATCTATATACTTTACCTGCACCATTTTCACTTCATGTATTGCTTCCCTTACTGATACTGAATGAGCTAAATTTGGTATAAACATTCCAGGTGCTTCTGGAGAAGCATAACTGAATTTACCACCAGCTCCATTATTACCTCCACTGGATAAGCTTTCTTCCTTCACCTTTCGATATCTGGGCCTGGCTGTGGCAATTTGATTTCAACTTTCACAACATAAATATGAAACAACAAAAGCTCATGTCAATTACAAGGGAAAAGTCTGCATGAAGCAAAGAACAAGTACCTTGGAAATATAGTTCCCTCCCTAAGATAGAGCCAATCATTTGTATACTCATCAAATTCTGCAACCATTGCAATCACATAAGCTAAACCTCTCCGGAATGATCTTTCCTGCATCATAACAATGGCGAAACATTAGTCCAGCACTGACAATGATGGAATAACATACAAGTCCTTTATAAACTAACCTGATACACAACGACAGATCCATACAGTCCAATAAAGAAGCTGGAAAAAATTGATATTAGGATGCTACCTACAACTATGATTGGCCACATGAGGATTGTTAAACCAGCAATTGGAATGCACGCTGTTTCAAGAAATGGTCCCTCTCTGCTAACCAGATCATGTAACAGTCGAAACCAGCCCTTCAACAGCATATATGGACTCTTAACTATTGCAATTGCTGTGAAGAGAGGAATATCGACCACTAGCCCCATCACCCCAGCAATGATGCAACCAGGCACAAGAATTAACCTACAAGAAAATACATTAACAAAAAGGTTCACTCTGCTTTTTTCATTAGGCTCTGATATGAAATGCCTGGGTATTTTATCACTATTCCTTATTCACATGCTAGAGTAATCAAAAGCTTATATAATTTATGTAAATTTCCTCTTATTCCAAGAGCAAAATACCATTACAAATGTTAGATCCTAACCAAAACAATACAATGATAGTTAAAGTTGTCCAGCAACATGCATACATAAACTATTACAAAGATTATTACAATTATTAGATTCTGACCAAGACCATATATGATCACTACTCTAAACCATTACCTAAGAGTTTGAACCTCATTTGATTGTGGGGATTCACGGAACTCCTTCAAGAAGGCTGGGTAGGAATGATAACATATATCTGCAAAATCAGTAACTACGGTACAACTTCCCTTGATAGTTCCCCATGTGCCATCCTAATCGTTCAGAGAAGGAGCTAAATATTAACCACGTGCAATGAGGAAACAGAGAAAGAAGACAACAACAGAGATGAACAACAAAAGAAAAGGTGATGCCAAGGAAGATGAAAAGACAAAGCACGTGACAATTCAAGAATTACCACAACACAGTGGAAAATTTTCTTGGATTCATTATCATGTCTGAAGGCCTCAAAAGTTGAAATCCAGGGAGTGAAAAACCCATATCCAATTCCCACAAGGACATTGCCAGCTATACTTAGACCTAACCATATACCAAATAAAGCAGGCAGAGCAAACAGGATAGCAACTTTTAGCGGTATATCATATCTGTTTGTCCTGCAATTGCCAAATAAATACAAATAAAATGATAAAGGAATTCAAGTTAGCGTATTATCCATTTGAAATAACTCAGCGGCCACCAAAACAGCTTTCACCCAGAAAAGAAAATTGAAGAAAAAGGTGAAAAAGAGGAAATTACTTTACTACTGCATAGATTGTCCAGCCAATATGTGCAGGAAGCAACCCAAGAATGATCCCAACATTTCCTGCTATTAATATGAGGCAAGCAATAGGACCCACAAGAAAACCTGCAGCATTCCATGAAAATATAAGAACACCATAATCAAATTTACGGGTAGGATTCAGCTTAAACAAGCAGAAAGCTCTAAAAACAATCTTTCTGCTGAAAATACCTACTCAGAAACACTGCAGCACTGAAATAAAGCCAATAAAAAAGAAATGGAAGAAGGAGACGAAAACGACCTTTAAGAGCACCCAAGAAGAAGGCAGAGCAAAATGCAAACAATACATAGACGCTCTTCCACCAATCCTCAAGATTGATCAACGCATCCATGGAGAGATAGCAGAGAAGAAGTTAAACTAAAAACACAAGTTTTCAAAGAGATATAATACCGATAGTAGGCCTTTCGTAGGTTTGACAAGGATTAGGCGCAATAAATAAAACAGAGAGAGAGTGTTGCGTGTCCTGCAAGATGATGACAAAAAAACGAGAACGAAAGACCCGAAACCCAACCAGAAATTACTTGCCAGAATGACACGAAGCAGAAAGGAAAATATCGTCAAACAAAGAAAAATCTCAGAGAGAGAGAAATATTATAGAATAAAAGAAAAAGGAAAGAAAAGAGAGAGAGAATCTCGTTATGGTTTTGTTAGTTTCCGGGCAGAAGGTCATCATCAATGGCGTCTGACACTTGGGAACTTAATTTCTTTTGGTGGTTAAGAATCTGAATCCGACGGCTAATGTTGGAGAAATGTGGTGTTGGTGTACACGGGCACATAGCTGATTACCCCTATACTGGGAGATGATTTGATGAAGTACAAAGCGTGGTACTCAAGCTGCTGGCCATGTGGGGTTTTCCCAACTCCATGGTCAAAATCAAATTGAAGATTTATCATCTTGATTTCATCATATAAGTTAATTTAATAATGTAGGAAGTGCACTGTAAGTTTGTAGAGTCGATCAGAGTTGTCATAACTTTTAAGAACTCTGAATACTTTTGTGGCCAAACCTTTTTGCTAACAGGCATCTTATTTCTTCAGCCTTTTTCAAGATACAATTTGCCTTGGACCAACTCCAACACTCTTGGGCCAAAACTAAATGAACTCCGTTAGTGTAATTATAGTTTGTGTTATGAATTTTATTAAATAATTATTAACTAAAAATATTTTTAGTATTTGATATAAATAATTATAAAAAATAATATTTTTTTAAAAAAAATTAAAACTGTATGTCAAATAAAAATGACTATTAATATTGAAATTATCATAAATATATATATAAAAAGAGAATAAAACAAAAAAAAAAACATAAATTCTGTGTTTAGTTGAAGTAATTATAAAAACTGAAATAATTTTAAAAAATAAAAAATAATTTAATTTAAATTATCAATTCTACATATTATTATTATTATTATTATTTGCATACTATATTTTATATTCTATATAATATATAATAAAACAATTATATATGTATATATATATATATAACAATCAATAAATGATATATTTCGTACGCTACTTTACGAAAAAATAATTACAATTTTTAATTTGAATGATTATTTTTACATATAGAATATAAAAGTGTGTATTACAGACAACATATTATATATATATAAATAAATCTTCTGTATATAATATATAGTATTTTTTTTAAAAAAATTAAAAATATTGAGTCAAAATGTAAAAAGAAAAAATTTAACCATATAAGACGACCCAGTCAGCAGCCCCGACGAACTGGAGAATGCCGCATGTCAAAACACGTTGACATTAGCGCCACGCGGGTGATTCGCGTGTCCAGCGATCTGATGGCTTAAATTCGATCCCGCGCGCGTGAACAATTTAGATTCGTTTCATCTTTAGGTGCGATTGGACGAATAAGATCAATCACGATGAACGGTCCAGATTCACCCACACAATCGGCTTAAACAGGTAAAGATTGGATAGTTCTCCTCGTTCCATGTCGACGTGAATGGACAGTCCAGATCAACGTGAGATGGGTATAAATACCCACGTCGCATGGAAATCCAAACTCTAGCCGCCAGCCCCGTCGGAGAAAATGAACCCCAGCTACAAAAGGGGACTGGTGGAGCTGCTGCAACCAAAGACCCCCCTGTCGGTAGGTTTATTTTTTTGTAATTTTTCGGCTAACTGAAACCCTCTCACGTATTTTTTCACAGAGATATATGTAAAACTGGTTAAAACCGATCAGACCGGAGCAAACTATTGCTGTGGACGGCGGAGCTGATGCCAGAGCACGGCAATGGGGCCGTGCCGAAACTCCAAAATTCGCCGAAAAGCATTTTAGACATTGATTTTGGATTTTTAGGATATTTTTAGCTATATGATGAGTATTTTAAATTTCGTAAAAAAAATTTAGAAAATTCGGTATCCGTTAAAAAACGTAGTAGACAACGCAACGTCTCAAAACACCGATTCGAGTGACAATCTCTCATCTTATTCTATGTTATAGTAAATTGAGATTTAATAATGTATAATTTCGTGTTTTTATAAAAATTTAGAAAACTCTAAAAATAATTACAGATCATTAATGGAACCGAAACTTATTAGTTCACAATTGTCCTGATTTCTTATTTATTTTCATGTACTGTCATATTTGCTTGTTATCATATTGTGCATGTTCTTAATTTATAGTTTATATGATCTTATCAATTTATCTAGTTATTCAGTTATCTGGTTACTTGATCCCTCAGTATGATAAGTTACTTGATCCCTCAGGTCATTAATGGAACCGAAACTTATTAGTTCACAATTGTCCTGATTTCTTATTTATTTTCATGTACTGTCATATTTGCTTGTTATCATATTGTGCATGTTCTTAATTTATAGTTTATATGATCTTATCAATTTATCTAGTTATTCAGTTATCTGGTTACTTGATCCCTCAGTATGATAAGTTATATCGTCTGCATTAATGTCTTCTAATTGATCTGTAAATATAATATGATATATTAGTATGTATTTGTTGATTGTTTTGTTGATGAAAATTTTTATGTGAAAGACTTACTAGGTACTTAGAGAAAGGGCGGACGTATCCGGTATATAGAAAACTTTATCATGAACGTTACCTCAGTCAAACGGAGCTGAAAAGTCCCTTACCAGAAAAGTTCGGGAAATATGACTCACTCTCATACCGGACGGGGTATCGAGATGATGAAATATTTAGCGCTCATTAGCGGATGGGGTATGAAGAAGGTCGATTAATTGTTAAAATTGAATATTGTGTTTACGAGTAGGGGGACATTCCTATGAACCTTTAAGGGTACCAGTAAGCAAGTTAGAAAGGAAAATTGTCATATCTTGTTCTCTTGTGCGTAATGAAAAATGGTATGGATATGAGACTTATAGGTTGTTTTTTAGAAAACTCGTAACGGTAAGTATCAAACAAACGTTTTTAAGTTAAATGTATTCAATTAAAACAAAGGTTTCATTAGTTGTTTTTCTGATTTTTTTTTAATTTTCAGTTTTTTGTATCTATGATTAATGTGATATTCTTATCAGGTTAATATAGCTCACATTTTCATTAACCAGTTCAGATTAAGAAAACTAATATCCAGATCCCGATTAGAAAGAGGGTTGTGAGTAGTTAATCACCCGAACTCCCTTCAAGTACTAGTGAAGTTTGTCCTATAATACTTATTTATTTGTTTTTTCTTTAATTATCGTTTGTTTTTTAAAATGTACATTTCTGTAATTTTATTGGACATTCTAAATTATTAAGTAAGAAATATAAACCATAATTTTATTATCCGCTTACACGTTTAAATTATAAATTTATTTTTTTTAAAATTCTGAATTTTTACATGTTGACTGCAGATATGCAGAGTTGGAGTCTTGAGTTAGTACGAAGTATCTTTGTGGATGAGGAAGCACAACATATCCTGAGAATTCCACTTAGTATTAACAAGAGGGAGGATAGATTGATTTGGACTTTCTCAAAGGATGGTCAGTACTCGGTAAAATCAATCTATGATCATATTCGAGGTATATTGATTGGTCATTGGAGAATTGCAGATTGGTGTGGCAACATGTGTGGTCGACAGATATTCCTCCTAAAGTGAAAATTTTTATCTGGAGAATGTTGAATAATACCCTTCCTACTCGGACTCGACTACAAGAAAAGGGTGTGAGTGCCGCTTCCCGATGCCCAAGATGTGAAAAACCCGAGACCCTCAAACGTGTCTTCTTTGAATGTTGGAAAGCACACTGATGGTGGGAACTGCTGGGTATGAATGTCCAGATATCAGCAGACATTAATTTATTGTCCTGGCTAGCAAATTTAATGTCTAGATGGTCAACTACAACAGGTGCTCTGTTGTTTGTGGAGATTATGGTGGGAGAGGAACGCTTTGGTGCGGTCGGGTAAGTACTTTGCAGATTCGACCACAATTTATCTTATGCGGAAGTTTTTATCGGATTGGCAGCAAGGGAAATTATTTGAAGCCAGGGAAATCTATCATCAGAGCTCCAAGCCATCTCACCCAGCTGTGTGGTTACCTCCAGAAGCGGGTGAGTGAATGTAATTTCGACAGTGCAATTTGGAGTTCGAAAATGGAGGAAACATATGGAGCAGTTTTTCGGGATGCCTAAGGGAGTGTGATCAAGGCTTTTACTGGTGGGAATTTGGGTTGTCAGGAACGTTATCTAGCTGAACTTTTGGGTTGCAGAGCAGCATTACAATTCATTGTAGCAAATGTTTCAAGGTAAAGTGAACTCCAAGTCTGAAGATGTTTCAGAGTATGGATTCATTGTTGCTGATTGTATTAGGGTGTTAATTAAGCAGACCAGATATTACAGTGAATTGGGTGGGTAGGGAATGTAACAGGTTGGCACATACTCTGGCCAAGTTTGCGTTTGATTTTCCAAGCTTTCATGTCTGGGACCATATTCCCCAGACCATACTTGTTTCATATCTCTGAGTTAATTAATTAAAGAGAATGAAACGCAAATAAACAGATGATGTCCCGACGAGGCGAAGAACAGAAGTTGTTGCTACTACTCTGAACAAATATACATTTTGATGGAGAATAATTTTGATATTTCAAATATAAATTTAAATAATGTTTAAAAATTACGTATTTGATTATTATTGTTGTATATTTAATCATACTATAAAAGTAAAATTAACTTCTTATCCAAAATCAATATTTCTTTCTCAAATCTGAAGTATTATGTGTACTCGAATACTTGTGTGTACTAAAATCTTCGTAAACATATTCTTTCAGAAAAATATATAAAAAAATGATTTCCAAAAATTTTATGAAAAATTATATTATAAAGAATTAAGTATAATATAACTGTATGTAGTATTATTATCTATTTATTAATAAGATAAACAAATAATAAGAAATAAATGGTATTACAAAATTATGTATGTTAATTACCCTAATATAAGTATTTATAATATGAGAATCTACACATTATCAGAAAAATATTAATTAATTTTATGATTCATCATTTAAGATATCATAATTAAGTAATCTACTTTAATATAAATTTAATATTATTATATGTGTATTTATATATACATTGTATATTTAAGACTAAATGCACGTATTTGTATATAATTTATGTATATTGCATGATATACTAATTGTATCAATCATACATTGTATATGTAATGTATAAATTAAGAAGTAAGACTGTTTTTTTTTTTTCTTTAAATAAAAAAAAAAAAACAAAGAGTAAATCAAGGGAAGCGTAACTAACGCAGAGGCAGTCCAAGTCAGCCCAAATTCGTTGACCATCTTCTCAAGTCCAAAAAAGCCTGTAACATTTTATGACCCGACCGGGTCGGGTCCTCTACAAATCCACTTCATTGTTACGGAGAAGGCGATGCCTACTTGCCAGCCAGACATTATTTAAACTTTTTCTAATTAAAAAAAAAAAAAGGTAAAAATTTGCACAGAAAAATAAAATAATAAAAAATTATTAAAAAATAAAATTTAAAAATTAAACCGTCACACAATTGTAATTTTCCTTCTCTTCTTCCTCCTTTGGCTGGATATCAGCTTTCGGGTTTCGTCACCTTCCGACGAACGAGAGCACTGGAGAAGGTGCGACGGCAGCTATGGATCTAGTTCTCAAGAAGGAAGTCGAAGATAACAATCCCGAAGCGCTCTCGCCTGCTACGGATTACCCCGCACCTGCTGTCGAAGCAGGCTTGCAGCATCATCTCCACTTGTCTCTCACTCCCAAGCCTCTTACTTTCTCCTTGGTCGCTCTTTTCATCCTTCTCTCATTCTCTCGATCTATTCACTTTCCTTGCTGTGAATCTGTGGCAAAGAAACGACAGTATAATACATGCTAGATCTCGTGCTTTTCTGCTGATTTGATCTTTTAATATATCCCCGCTAATTATGAAAAATGGTGTTGCGATTTTAAGCTTTTGCTTTGTTTGCTTACTAATGAATTGTTACAAGGTGATAAAACCATCTGTAATGCTGTTGATTCCCTAATCGGTTGTGGATTTTGGGACATTGGTGCAGAGGAGGAAGAAGAAGCTGTCAATTGACAGAAAATGCGAGACGTTGAAGATAAAGAAGTGCCTTTCAGAAACAATAGTCAAACATGTAAGATTTCTTGTTTATTTGCTTGATCAGAGTTCAATTTGAATCCGGAGCCATTATGTGAACAGTTGGGCACCTTGTGCGGTTTACCTGGAATTTTCCTAGCTCATTTTCCTTTATTCCGGAAGCAAAAATGTGCACTCAATTATGTCCTAATTTCTTTCAAATGCTTAAACCATAAGATTACCGCAGAAGGGAATCAAGGGATCAACGGAGTCAGGCTTCAGATACCCTGTCTATCTTGTTCTGTTTGTTGACTTAAATTAAGCATTTTTAGGTTATGTTTAACAAAATGCTATGAATTTGTTGGAATTTTTCTTAATAAGTGATGAATGTGAATTTTGTTAATTTTTTCATCAGGCTGTAGCAGGCCGCGGAAAGAAGTATAAAAGGTATGTAGGGATTCAGAAATGCCTTTGATCAGTTCCCATTTCCACTCCTGTAGATTCATTTTGTGACAATACCACTTCTCTGCTATACTTGAAGCTGTAAGAAAAATGGTGCTTCAGTTAATGGAAAATGTACTTATGGGGAAGCAAAGTCACCTGCGATGATTCGAGCAGAGGAGGTTCAGTCAAACCTAGAAACTGATTACCCCAATTTTGCAAAATCTATGGTCAGATCGCATGTTGCCAGCTGTTTTTGGATGGTTAGACCCTTGAAATGATTAAGTTTGAGTTGTGTCAAAGACCTAATTGTAGACAAAGGGCTTATGTATGCAGAAATTTCTCATGGCAGGGCCTTCCAGGGCTGTTCTGTAAGTTACACTTGCCAAACAAGGATACTACCATTACTTTAGAGGATGAAAGTGGAAATGAGTATAAGACAAAATACATTGCTGACAAGACAGGATTGAGTGCTGGGTGGAGACAGTTTGTTAGCGGGCACAATTTGCTTGAGGGAGATGTCTTGGTCTTCCAATTAGTCAAACCTACCAAATTCAAGGTGATGGTTTAAACTATGTCAGTTATCTTCATAGAGCTTTCATTCTCAGTTGTTCTGACTCTAGTATTGCATGGGTCAGTTGTCTATAGAAAGTAAAAAATTTGGATGAAACATGTGGAATCGTTGGTTGATCCAGTTTTATTGTTTCTACTTTTAATATGCTCTCTCATGCATAAGGTGCCACTAAGCTAAAACTAAACAACGTGCATGCCCTGGTGCTTTTATGCTGAATTAATTTTTAACAGAAACAGGTGGAAATTTAATTTCTAATATAAATAGAACTACTCGAATAAGAGTTAGGTTTGATTGATTATTCTAAAAGCTTAAGATTATAAAAAATGGCCCAGCTGTATTATTTATATTCTAATAGAGTGGACACATTCTTACTTCACTTCAAGTCATCTGTCTTATGAAAATGATAAGCATGCGAGCTAGCGTACAGGATACAAAAGAGAACCAAGTGGCTTCAGGATAATGCTAACAGAAAGCATGATGCAATTAGCAGATTGCAGATGTCTCTATATATCTTGTGAACCAGATAGTCCTTGTGGCTGTTGACTTGCTAATGTGGAAATCCTGCATCTTTGAGGGAAAGAAAACTATGACTTGCTAAGGTAGAAAGAGGAGAAAAGAAGAACAAGGACTATTATTTCTGTAGCTGTATTAAATTCATTGATCTTCAGGAGCTGATGCATAAGGCGACCAGTGATATATTTACTTCATTTGTGCTAAAAAAGTGAAAGCAATTATTATGTTCTTACAAATTGTATTATCCTATGAGGAATTAGGAGGCTAGATGTTGAATAATAAATTTGACAGGTGAGAACATGATGTTGAGACCAAGGATTTTTTCATGTTAGTTCAATTAGGAGCTAGAAATAGCTCCTCTTTGATGATCTATTTGGCTAGAAATAGTGGCAGATAACTGGGACTGAGGGCAATCGGGACATTGGTTGTCAACTCCACATCTCAATTACCGAGCAAGAAAAACCTTTCTTTGGGAAGATGGACTTGTCTGAAATGTTATATATATTGCTCTGAGAAATATTTATTCGTTCAAAATATTCATTTCTGTGACATACATTTAGCTTTCATTTGCAGGTGTACATAATAAGAGCAAATGACTTTACCGAGGTAGATGGTGCACTTGGCCTCCTAAATCTGGATGCTCCTACAAAGAGTGAAGCAGGCAAGTATTTAGTAATGCTAATTCAATGGATGCTCTGTCAAAAGGCTTACAGCTTGTGTTAATCCCCCTTTTCTCCTAATTGCTAGTCATTGTCCTTGGGTTTTTCTGATGAACTGTGCAAAAATATAATGCAGAATTGGGCGATGTACCTTGTAAAAGTGTTAAGAGGAAATGCCTAAAGTCACTTCCATTAGCTATTGTCCAAAGAGGACAAAAAGTCCCGGCCAGCCACAACTGGCTCCTATATTGAGCACCCAGCTGAGCAATTTGAAAGTGACAGTGAAGAGGTGCGCTCAGAAGTTTTAGAAGGTTTCAAGCTATCAGTGCCTGGTGTTCAGTTCAATGAAGTAAAAAGTTTTGAGGACTTTAACATAGTGATTGATGGCATGGTTATTGATTCCGAGCTCTCAGAGAATATCCAGGATAAATATTACAAGCTTTGCTGTTGTCAAAATGCGTTTCTTCATGAAAATCTTATTCAAGGCATCAATTATAAGTTGGTTGTTGGAATCATCTGTGAAACTGTAAATATTGCTGATAGCTTGAGAGCCTGCAAGTTTACCACCTCTCGTGATGAGTATGCTATGTGGGACAGAACTTTACAAGCCTTTGAGCTGCTGGGCATGAACGTTGGATTTTTACGAGTTCGCTTACATCGGCTAGTCAGCCTTGCCTATGAATCAGAAGGCTCCACTGACACAAGGAGATATATAGAAGCTAAAACTGAACGAGCTTGTGCAGAAGATGAGATTAGGAGGCTGGAGGCGAAGCTTGTTGAATTGAAAGGCGACTATGAAAGCTTCGGTGCTAAAATAGAATGTTTGAAATCGTCAGCTGAGAGTCATGAGCTCAAATTCCAAGAGGAGGTTAGTTCTCCGTGGTGACATTTTTCTTATGCAAAAATATTTTTTCATGTTTTATATGGCTCTTTTCATTCATAATCTCTCCATTCTTAACCTGAAGACTGGGTCAGCCTGGTTTGTATGTAAACTTATTAATGCTAGCTTTTGCAGGGAAAAAATTTTCTTTTATGTTAGAGATTCAGTACATGCTAAGTAGTAACACCATAATCTTCTAAAAAACTGCCCAGCTGTTACAAAGTCGATTAGACTATTTTGTGAACTGTTATAGGAGAACCTGAAGTTGGAACATGATTTCCGTAGTTGATTAAAATCGTCTTTTCTGCTCCTCTATTCTTCATCTAATTTGTAACGGCAATCCTTACGACAAATATTTCTCTCTCGTCTCGCTTGAAGAGGGATATTACAATGTAAGGGCTCGAGCGGATGATAATATATAGTCTCTACTTGTTATATGTTGGTGTTGTAAGTTAGTAGTATGCTTAACCCCAACCGTATTGACGATGAGTACTAAACGTCTAGGCTCAGCCTAATGGTCCTAAAATGTAAGAAGCTAGTACATGCAGGCTGGACTATGGTGCAAAAATATAACAAGTTAGTACATACAGGTAAATATGGAGTTGAATTGTTAATAAAAGAATATTGGAATTCAGGGTTCTAAATTTCCATCTAATTGTACCTTTTATTAACTGGATACGGCCCATTAGGCCCAATCCATCAATGTGCGGTCTTAGTGTGAATGTTCTAAGAACAACTGCTTTGGAAATTCTGGAATGAACACAAACTCATAATTCAAATATTAAGACTAAATTAAAATCCATAAATTTTATCAAACATGCTGGCCAATTCCAAATATTAGTTTGCTTTTGATTAATTTGCATTTAATCTTCTGGTTAATCATTAGTTTTAGTTTTTTTAAACTTAGTAATAATTAAATTATTACAAACAGCATAAAGGTACCTCAAGTTGCATAACACTTTTATTGAACGTTGTTTTTTCTTCTTTGAAAAAAAGCACAAATTTGTTTGTGCTGCTGTACACTCTTTCCATTTTAATTTTAATTTTTTTTTTTTTTTTTTTTTTTTACAATTTTTCTAAAAATTTCTATCGTTAATTTAACCCTCAGTTACAGAACTTTAATGGGTAGCATCAGATAATCGTAAGTCGTTATAAATATATTCAAATAATGCATGAAAATATAGATCCAAGTGAAAGAAATGTTACAGGGGCAGATCCAAAAGCACGAGCTGAAGATGTAGCAATCATTATCACATGCACAGATGAGGTTCTTCAACTGCAAACATTTTGTACCAAAAGAACAGCCAAACGCCAACTTCTAAACAGATCTTTGAAAATAAAATAAGAAGAAAGAAATTAAGACAACAAAAATCCAAAAAAAAAAGAAAGATTAATGAAGGTTAAACCACTAGCTAGTTAATTGACATAATTAACAGCACTTTTAAAATTTTTCTCCAAAATCCTTGCTAATAAGAAGAAGAAAATCAAACCCTCCTCCCCATATTTCATCTTCCGAGCTAGACAATTTTTTAAAAAAATCTACACAAATCCATCTTCCCAAAAGACCTTACCTATATCCCAATGTTTACATTTCTGCAGCTTGGCCCTCCTTCACCCAAGAGCTCCTGGAACGAACAAAGAAAACCCAGAAAGTTTATCAAAGAAAAGAACAAATCAAGCATAAATCAACTCAAAGTATATGTAAGGGGAAAAAAAAAAAAAAATCAAAAGAAAAGAAAACAAGTGTTAAATTTTGTATCTTTGACTCACCTGCGGAGTCTTGTTAACGTGTGCTTCTTCATGAACAATCCCAGACCTCTTGCATTCTCCAATTCTAATCTCCATCGACACATCGCTCCTCTCAGCTCTCTTTGACCCAATCTGGTTTTTCTTCAGACCCAAAAACCCTTTCCACCTTCCCTTGGCTGGCCTAACCGACGTCGAATCGTCCTCTTCGTCATCTTCAACAAGAAGCTCCTCTCTCAAAGTAGTAGTCCTCGGCATTTGGTTGCTGCTGCAGGTTTCTTTGAAGGGCAAGAGCTTTCCCTTGAAGAAAAGCTCGTCCGCACTCATCATGGAGTAGTTTGTGACAGAGAACTCGAAATCGGAGGAGGCAGGCGGCTCTGATCTCGGACTCCTTTCTTGCTTGATAGCCTGTTGGGAGTCGACGAAATCATTGGAGAAGGAAATTCTAGGGCTCGCTGGAGTGTAGCGATGAGCTTTATGGTCAGAGTTATACATGTCTAAACATGCCATGAGATTTGAAAAGAAGATAAAAAAGGATGGAGGAAGAAGAAAGAGAGAAACAAAACCCTAATAAATTCTTCAAGGGACCCTCTTTCTACTGTTGCAACTTACCCAGTTATAACATGTTCGTATTTATATCGTATAAGACATCTGAGCTGGTTTGCTATCTACAGGATTCGTGATTTTCTTTTCTTTTTTTTTTTCTTTTTTTTTTCTTTTTGTTTTGTATTCGTGCATGTTCATGGCCCTCGATGTGATCTAATTTGTCATCACATGTTTGAAACTTGAAGGTGGAAAATTTTTTTACTCTCATTTTTCCCATGGTCAAAAGGGAATCCTTATCTTCGTACTTCACCCAGAAAATCTTGATTCGACCATATAGATTAAATAGATGTTTGATTCAAGTTTATAAATTTATTTACTAAACAATAATTTGAATGAAAAAAAGCACATTAAAAATCTTTTTTTTTTTTTTTCCTTTATAAAAAATATTGGTGTTTAATTATTACTGGCTAGTACGTTGGGAGACTTCTATGAAGATTCCAATAAACTGTCAAAATCACCAAGTTTATTGATGTTCGCAACTTCCACACGAGTGATTTTTTGTTTTTTGTTTTTTTTTTTTTTAAAAAGAAGAAAGATATATATATATATATAAATTATAAAAAGTATTTTAAAATATAGAAAGAATACACATTTTTTTACAAGATTCCATGCAGATAAGAAGCATGGAAAATCCAACGGCTAAGAATGATCATGTGAGTTCTGTCAAAACTGGAGCGCTTTCCTTCATTACTTTGGCGCAAAGCTGGCTCACTCAGTTTCACAGAAATAGTAAGTGTGACAGTGATGAAGAATGCAGGGTTATATACAAATACGACTATATCTATATATCTCTAATTTCTTACTTAAAAAGTATCTGGGTAATCTTTTTTAGTACTTCTTTCTTCGTCGATGCACTTTTACCAATAACATATCATATTAAAAGATATGTTTGATCTTCAAGAACCTCCTGGTACCTTTCTTGAAGTTCTCTGTACCAACAGTAATTAATAATATTAGCATTGAAAAATGGAGAGCATATACATACGCATATGTGTGTATGTCAAGGTGGGGTAAGTAAAATAAATGATGAAAATTGGTGGATCTGGAAGTAGTTTCCATTTGCTGGCATAGAAAGCAACACCAAAAATTTATATGCATACACATATATTATCTACACGATGGTTTGGGTTTTTTTTAATTACTTTTTACAAAGGGTATAATAATTTTTTGGCAAGATTCAAAATTGGACATAAATAATAAAAATAAATACTTATTATTATAGTTTTTGACCCAATTTTGACTTGTAAATTGTAAGTAAAATTATCAGTGAATGAGCTGGCGATGCTGACTGATCAAAAGGGACCACGTGCTTTTATTTAAATTAATTAATTAAAAGATAAAAAAATAATAATAGTAATAATTATATATTATTGACATTTTATTCTTTTTTAATAATTAAAATTTGAAAATAATAATAATTTTTGTCGTTTAATGAAATGATTTAAGATGTCACGTGGCGCACGTGAATTCCTCTTCAGCACTTTGCCAATCTTTTAAATTGATTGAACTCGAAAATTGCTTTGGCTGTTTAACAAATTATTGATTTTGATAATTAAATCGACAGAGAAGATACTTATAAACCCAAGGACATTGGCTGGCTGTCACTCACATGCTTTTTTTTGTTTTTAGCTTTTTCTCTTCCAAGTAAAATGGGGTTTTGCCACGTGTCGTCTCCCGCCAATCCATTGCCGACGAACCAGGGCCAGTCAACGCCTCCACTTCTCATCATCATATTATTAAAAGATTTTCTGGGTCCAAGTTTGGTCTCACTCGAATTGTCACCCCCCCTCCTCGCTAACAACAACTTTATGATTTCTATTAAATACGAAATTGCATTTATAATTTAACTCTTTAGAGAGAGATTGGAATAATTCTTTGCTCGTTTCTGCCTAAATAAGAAATTTATTATCGTCCCCAAAAAACAAAAATAATAATAATTTTGCTACTTTAATTTAATATATATATATATATATAGATATATGTACACGCACATGCACGCAGATTAACTATGTGGGTTATCTCTTTAATGAAGAGAAATTTAACATTAATATACAAAAATTACACATGAAGTGCTTCTTTATAGGCCCATTTATCTATTTACAAAAGCCCATTTCTATATATACTAGGCCCAATCTATTCTCTACATCATACATACATATCTCTAGTCTCGTGTATCAAAAGGTCGAAGTGCTTATATAAAATACAGTGTGTGTTCTCGGACCATAGATAAATTGAAAGGTTAAAAGATATATAATTGTTCGTTTTAAATTATTGTAAAAAAAAAAAAATTAAAATGTATTTATCATGGACTAATAAAACCAGAGCCAAGAACACAAAAAACCTCATCTTGAGAAATTTTGCAGCCTAATAATTTAATTAACCACAGTAAACTTTTCCCATTCGTACTTGAAATTTATAATAATTTGTTTGCTTTTTCTTTATTTTACGACAGAGAAAAAGTAAACAAACACAATTTATATCAGTTGTTGAAAAAAAAAGGGAATACGAAACAAGAGGTGAAAATTAGATTAGATTACATAATACAAATCAACATGCACCTGCACAGATTATTTAACTTGCTTCTCTATTTTTTTTTTTGGGAACTCATCACTGGACGCATGTGCATGTGTATGTATGTATATCTTGGAGCTCCACATGAGAATATATATATATATATATATATGTGACAGACAGATGAATTTGATGAGGGCATACTTGACCAAGATTATCTCAAATCACAAAGAACACACAGGCAGAAATTATTACGTATAAGGACATCACGCACATATGTATGTATATTTATGTTTTAATGTTGGTATAGAATTCACCAGAGGCTGTCATAAATTTTCATGTGCAAGCGTTGTTGAGCAAAGTTGACGAGCCTCTCGGTTTCCTTGGCGGAGTCTATCTGGCCATTGCGGTTTGTATCGGCTTCCTTCATCCCTTGACGGGCTTTCCACCAAGTGAACCAGACGTGGAGGCTGCGGAGCGCCTCCTTCAGCTCCTCACGGCTTATGCGCCCGTCGTGGTCGGTGTCGTATCGACGCAGCCACGTCTTGAATTCCTCCACCGTCATCTCCTGCCCTGGTTGCACCTGAATACACCGCATAATCGCCATGGATCTCTGGCTGATGATAGTTTTCCCAAAGCTATAATCTATTATAAGTCCCTGTTTGAACTGCTTAATTGATTTCTTGTCAACAAGTGATCATACTCATTCGTGGATAAGTGGAGAACAAAACGAATCTTCATATCAGCCATTCATGCATCTACATGTATAAATTAATGGCCGCCTTTACAACTTGTCAAGAGCATCTTTCAACTATATACCCACGTCTTGCTTTATATCAACTCCATATATTCCTCCAATATATACATAGATGTATGTAAATAAATATATATATATATCTACAACTTTATTCTTGTATTCGTGGTTGGCTGCTACTCGATCATTAGCGTTCTCCAATAACATGGTTGGATTATACTATAATAGCTTAAGAATACAGCTAAGTTTTTTGAAAATTAAAAGGTCATGTATTTCAATAATTAATTAGTAGTTAGACATCGATATTAATACAACACTTAGGATGTAATTTATTAACTATTACTTTATTTAATAAAAAATAAATAAATTAAATAATAAGTAATACATACATTTTATTCTTAGGTCGTTTGTGTTAATCATCAAGAATACGTTTTAAAAATTACCCCCAAAAAAAATTAATTATTCATTTTTTTTTTAACCATTATTTCAATTTATTCATATTTTTAAAACACTTAAAAACTATTATCAAACATAAAACTTCATACTTTGAAATAATATTAATAATTATAAAATTCATATATAACTTCATCTCCAGAGTAGTTGTCTTGTATTATTGGATTTTCATCAATTTTATTGGTAAGGCGTTATTAATTAAATCGTCTTGAAGGTCTCTTTTTTTTATTTATTTATTTATAATAACAAGGCTCGTCTCCTGCTTTACTAATTTTTGTTGAACTACAAGAAAACCATAAGTAATTCAGCTCCACCATATCCAGCTCTCTTGCGCATGGCTTCAGCTCCACCACAACCTTACCTGCGTCCTCTGCATGGCCAATGCAACCGTATTTCAATGCTCTACGAAGCTTTGCCTTTGTTTTGATGATTCTGCAAGTTGTTTCATCTCTCGCATCTGCTGATATTTTTCTAATGATATCTTACCCATGTATATTCTTCAAATAATATCTCTTGTGATATAAAATAATATAGTTCACGTAAGATTTACACATAACTCTTGTAAGGAATTCTGCTTTTACTTCAAATCCTAAATGAAAAATTACTCTTTTCATTTCATGTAATTACTTCTCAAAACTACACTTTGGATGAGTTTGAATTTATTTATATATTTACCTTTATTATATTCTTCACCAGATACTATCAATTTGTGTTTTGTAAAGAAGAAGACGTGTAGATCGTGATCTCAAGTTAACAATTCATACTCACGTTTAAGTGACTCATCCATCAAGAATTCTTCTACGTCCTAGTTGTAGGAGAAAGAGCTTTAGCTCTCACTAATACTTTGAATTCAGACTCTATTTTAATTGCTCACTTCTTAAATTATAACTAGTTCACTCAACCAAGTTAAATAGTTACATCTCTACGATCCAGAACACTAAGCAAAGTTAATGGGGGTGTTATAAACTCATCCATGTCGATTAAACCATCTCCGTTGAAGTCTACCCCGCGAATCATTCAAGCAGCATCTCTCCCTTATCTTCTTCAGCACCTCCATCAATTCCTCTGCACATATTCTCCCATCACCAACGCGCTTTGCAGATCCTTCTTCTTCACCCCATCTCCACTAATGTTGTTCATCCATCCCCATCAATTCCTTCAAGTCAATGAAACCATCATCGTCAGTGTCAATGGCCCGAAACGATTTGGCCCTGTCTGTCATGCTTCCAACCCCGCCTTTGCCCAGAAGCTTTAGAGCTGCTTTATACTCGGCCTGTCAGCTCTTGCCATCCTTGTTAGTGTCCAATTTGTCGAACACCCATTTCATTTCTTCTGCATTAATGGACTGGTCAGGTCTTGACACGTTAGAAACTTGTCTTTGCGGCTTGGCGAAGCTGGGTTGCTGCCAGTGTTTCACCGACGACTTTCTTGAAATTTCATACTGGAAACTCAGGAAACTAATTTTGGACATATTTTCCTGCAGATTCTAAGTGGTTTTATATGGAAGAAGAGACGCTATAAGTGAGTATATTGAGTAGGAATACCCTGCAGGACTTTAGTTTATAGGCCTTAATTAATTGATTTCCATCTTTTGTAAATGAAAAAAGAAGTCAGAGAAGCAAGTCATTAGATGAGTTAGGTAATGTTCTTATTCAATAGTCACTTTCCTGGAACTATTTGACAGATATTGTAATGTCAGAAAGAAGAGACGAAAAAGCAAATATATAAAGACTATGCTTTTATCTAACAAGTTGAATAAGAAGTCTCTCTTTTTTTTTTTCTCACAGCTGATTCCCCTTCTTTCCCCTTTTTGATCTCCCTTTCGGCAAAGCGAATTAAGATGTACCCACCAAAATGATTCACCATTCTCCTCTATTTTTCTTTCTAATGGTTTTAAATTTTTATCAGTGGTGTCAGACGTGATTAAAGTCGTAAATGTTTTCAACTTAAACCAATAGTTCTTCAGACTCAAAATCTTAATAACATATGATTATGTCTTTAGGCAAATTTAATAACCATGTATTTTTTCAACTTATAATTAGAGAATCACAGCTTAACATTATTGAAACATCGCGAAGATACAGAGATACTAGAGACAAAACTCTTTCAACAATTTGAAAAGACAAAATTAGTTTTTATCTTCTTTTATATATTTATGCATTTTCACAGTTTCATCACTCAGACAAGAAAGCAAAGAAACTATATCTCTGATAAATGCAAATTGACAAATACAAAACTGTACTCACCAAGTAAAAACTCCCAAGAGAGTATACACTACTGCCATAGTTTAAGTGATGAAGCTATTGAGACCCAGTAGAAGCAAATGAAACTGAGGTATTAGACCTGATTGCTATGAAGGATTAAGGTTTGATGTTTACTCTCTTCATGAACGGCTTTAACCCCAGTAAGCTCTCTGGCTTTGATTGCGAGGTTTGGCCAGTCGGTTCTGGCCAAGATGGTGACCATCAATGCAGCGCAAACCAGCTGGGCCGCAAGCAAGCCCAACCAAAGGCCCAGCAAGCCCAAACCGACGAAAAAGCCCAGCGATAGAGCAACGGAGAAGCCGACGCCATAGAATGATCCCAAGTTAATGTTAACCCCCAAAGTTGGTCTGGCGCTGCCCCTCAACACCCCACACCCCGTCGTCTGCGGGCAGTTTCCCAGCTCGCAAAGTCCCACCACAGGCAGACACATCGCCGTCAGAGACAGAATTGCTTTATCCGTCGTGAAAATCCTTCCCCAAGTGTTTCTCATCGTCGTCATGAACAACA